CTCCAATGATCCCGGTCTTCTTCCATTACTTTGAAGTCTGTCCGCCTCCTAGTGGCGGTTGGGTGTCCTTCACTTCGATTCGGGATAGAACTCTCTTCCGTCCTTTATCGGATTCATTCAAAAATTTCAAACACCACTATTTTAGAGTCATTATCGACGCCGCCGGCCGCCACGAATTCCACGATGGCGAGGGGAACCCCTTGTTCCCTTTTTACTGGACGAGGGAGCCCCGGAAAATAAAGGCGTTTCCTGCGGGAGTGTTGAGTCCGGCCGACTTAGAGGTTGTGCGTACCATCAATGCCTCCCCCGCCGGATTTTCGCCCGTCACTTGGTCGAATGCCTTAGTCTTGAGGACTGTGGACAAAAGGCGTTCGGTATGGTATTATTATATTGGGTTTGTTTGTATTTAGTACGCTGATCTTAACGTTTCTGAATTGTTCTGTCTCTTTCAGATCTCATGACGACTCCTACTCCCCGTCAATCCAACTACATGGCCGCCAGGAAGCGAGGTGGGGCGAGCTCGTCCTCGGGCAAACCGAGGGTCGCGTCAAACGCTCTCCGTCCTCCGCCTTCGAGACGATCTTCCTCGACTGGCCGCCTGCCCCCGGTGCTTTCTGCGCAACTGCAACAAGTCCCCCCAACTGAAGCGATCGGGGGTTCTACTCCTGGGAGTCAGGCGCCGGGTCCAGACCTCCCCCACAACCTCGTGGTCGTTCATGTGGATCCGTCTTCTGAGGCGGCCACCATCTTTGTGGCTCTGTTGATACGGAAGAGGAAGGACCCTTCGGGCCATGGTCACAAAGAGAAGGAGGCCTCGTCCTCCCGGTCAGCTTCTAAGAAGGCCCGCAAGGGTAAGGAGAAAGAGAAGGAGAAGGTCCCCTCAATTCCTCTACCAGGCGGGATCTTTAGTCCAGAGTTCAGCATGAGTGACCGGACAAAGTTTCATATGAGCTCCTCTCAGCGAGCTCTTATTGAGCCGCTTTCGGAGTTGGAGCTGACCAACGCCATGTTAGAAATGTCGACCCGGGCGGCTTCCCTTGCATGGTATCTGAAAGAGTTCACCGATCGTCCGGGGAAGGAGGACATCCGTGCCGAACTCTTGGCCGAGAAGAAGAACTCGACCAGCCTCCAATCGACTATGGAGCAGCTGATCCTGAATCAAGAAGAATATGATAAGAGGATCGAGCAGCTGGAGGCCGACCTCGAGAAGTCTAGGAGGAAGGTTGTTGATGCTGACGACCAACTGGCGGTTGTCCGAGGGGATCATGAACGGCTGCAGGAGGAGTGCAGTCAACTGAAGATCAAGGTTTCCCGGCAGAGGAGCTCTGAGGCCGGGCTCCTGAAGGTGAACCAAGCTTTGACCAGTGATCTAACCAAGGCCACGGAGAAGATTGTCGAGCTCGAGGCAACCGTCGTCTTTGAGCATGAGGAGGGTTTCAATAAAGCCCTCCGTTAGACGTCCCTTCTGGCCGGTGTACAAGAGTCGTTCGCCGTGGGCTTTGACATGGAGAAGGACGTTTTCGATGGCGTCCTTGTGGATCTTAACTCCCTGGTTGAAGACGAGGGGCCGGGGATTGAGGGGCCCTTCGTAGCTGCGGGAAACGTTGAGGCGGGGGAGGCAGAAACTGAAGAAGGGGAAGAAGATGGAGGAAACAATTAAAATTTTTGCTTTTACATTTTGATTTTTTTTTTTTGCAATGTGTATTCTTGTGGCCGCCCGCCCAACATCTTGGGTTGTCGAGATGTTGGCCGGGTCGTCCTTTTGTAAATGCTGACACGTTTTGGTGTCTTTGCTGATCAATACACAACTCCATGTACTTTGCCTCTTTTAAGTTTCAACGATGTACTTATTGCTCATTTTTTTCTTCGCGTATTGATTATCCGGGGAAAAACCCTTAGACCTTTTCGGAAAGACCCTTCCATTTACCGTCCGGCCAAGTTGACAGTGGTTCCTGGGTGACGCGTCGTTCATCAACTTGGACTTTTGAGGCGCGGACAACAATGGTTCTTCGGAAAGAACTCTCCGTTCACCGTCCGGCCAAGTTGACAGTGGTTCCCAAGGGAACTCTCCGTTCATCAACTTGTACTTTCATCGTGTTTTAACGAGGCTAGGGGTGAGATAAGGCGGACGTCCTATCATTTGAATTAATCATTGAAAACAAAAATACAAGTTGGATAGCTCATCGAAACAAAATTCAACAGAAATAAAATTTTAAGTGTGTGGCGTTCCAAGTGTTGGGAATCGACCGTCCGTCCGACCATTGCAGCCTGTATGCCCCGTTTCCTAGTGTTTCGACCACCCGGAATGGTCCTTCCCATTTCGTCGCTAGCTTCCCGTGCGTAGAAACTCGGCGGGCCTCTCCAACCTTCCTCCATACCAGATCTCCCTCTTGAAAGCTCCTTGGCCGGACCTTGGAGTTGTACTTCCTCTCCACCATGCGCTTGCATGCTTCGGCTCTCAATGTCGCTCGGTCTCGTTGCTCGTCTAGAGATTCCAGTTCAATCCTCAGCTCTTGGTCGTTCAGTTGTAGGTCTTCCACTTGTCGTCACAACGAGGGCTCCCCCAACTCAACTGGTAACATGGCGTCAGTGCCGTATGTTAAGTTAAAGGGAGTGTCCCCAGTTGTCCCATGAGGCGTGCATCGGTAAGCCCATAGGACTTTCGGTAGCTCGTCGACCCATGCTCCCTTCCTTTCTCCTAATCGCCTCTTGAGCTCGGCGACCATAGTCTTGTTCATTGCCTCCACTTGCCCGTTCGTCTCGCGATGCTCTACCGAGCTAGTGACATGTTTAATCCCCAGGCCTTTGAAAAATTCGACCAGTTTCTTGTCAGTGAACTAGCGGCCGTTATCTGTGATGATTGTTTGAGGGAGGCCGAAACGACAAACCAACTTCCAACAGAACTTCTGGACTTGGGCGGCCGTTATGGTTGCCAAGGGTTCGGCCTCCACCCACTTGGTGAAATAATCCACCGCCACTAGGAGGAACTTCTTCTGGGCTCGGCCTATGGGGAATGGTCCCACGATGTCCATGCCCCATTGAGCGAACGACCATGGCGACGCGATCGTATGCAAGGTGTGAGGAGGCAGGTGGGTGTTGTTGGCGTGCGCCTGGCAACTGAGGCACTTATGGACGAACGTCTTGGTGTCTACTTCCATGGTCGGCCAATAATATCCCGCTCTCATCACCCGAACTTTCAATGTCCGTCATCCGGTGTGAAAACCACAAATGTCGTTGTGGAGTTCATCCATCACATAGCGTGCTTCTTCTGCCCCCAAGCACTTGAGAAGGGAGGTGGAGAACCCTCTTCTGTACAAGTTGTTCCCCACCAGCAGGTAGCGGGCGATCCTCTTTGCCTCGCTCGGTTTGACGGGTCGTCCGTCATCCTGCCGGGACATGATGTCCCTGATCTCGGATCGCCAGTCTCTCTCCCCGCTTGATACCGTCAGGCACTCTATTGAGGGTTGGAGCAATACCTGACGTACGACGGTTGTCAACTGCCCATTTTCTTTTCCTGAGCTGAGCTTGGACAACATATCTGCCCTGGTATTTTTCTCCCTTGGGATGTGTTGGATGTCGACTTTGTCGAACGTCCTTGCCAACTCTGTTGCGCGATGGAAGTATCGCAGCAACTGCTCCTTTTTTACCTGGAAGTCGTCATTCATCTAGCCGACGACCAACTGTGAATCCGTCCGGCAGGTGATTCTCTTTGCCCCCATATCTCTTGCCAACTCTAGACCGGCCACCATGGCTTCGTATTCTGCCTGATTATTGGAGACATTGAACTTAAATATCAAAGAGTGCTCCAATAGGAATCCGTTGGGGCCTTCCAAAACTATGTCGGCCCCGCTGATTGACCTGTCGGATGCCCCATCCACGTATAGATTCCACTCGTCCCGGCTGGAGGGGGGTAGTTCGGCCGCGAAATTTGCCAAGTGTTGGCCCCTGACCGACCCCCTTGGTTCGTAGTGTAGGCCAAACTCTGACAGTTCTACTGCCCATGCCACCATTCGCCCAGCCAGGTCCGGTTTTCTCAGAATTTTGGAGATGGGGAAGTCGGTTCTAACAATCACCTGGTGACTTTGGAAGTAGGGGCGGAGTCTTCTTGATGCATTTAGCAGGACCAGTGCTACCTTCTCCACCTACTGGTACCGGGTTTTTACGTCCAGGAGGGTGCGGCTGACAAAAGTATATCAACCTAGGTTGGGGTCGTTCCTGCATCAACACGACGTTGACGGCCGACTCAGACACGCCCAGGAAGACGTGTAGATCTTCTCCTGGTACGGGGCGACTCATCACAGGCGGGTTAAGCAGGATGGTTTTGACATCCTGAAAGACTTGTTCGCACTCGGCGTCCCATATGGGGCCGACTCCCTTCCTCATCCTCCGCAGGACGGGTTTGACCCTCTCGGCGAGCTTAGGGATGAATCGCGATAACGCTGTGAGGCGTCCGATGAGCCTCTGGACTTCTTTAAGGATGGCCGGGCTCTGCATCTATAGTACCGCCTCGCATTTATCAGGATTAGCCTCAATCCCTCTGGATGTAAGCATGAAACCCAGGAATTTTCCACCGGCTACCCCGAATGTGCACTTGGCCGGATTTAGTCGCATCCCGAACTTCCTAACTTGGTGAAATACCTCCTCCAGGTCCCTGACATGGCCAACTCCGTCCGCCGAACGGAGGACCATGTCGTCCACGTAAACGTCCATGCACCTGCCTATTTGCTCCTCGAAGATCCGGTCCATCAGCCGTTGATAGGTAGCCTCGGCATTCTTCAAATCGAAGGGCATTACTTCGTAACAGAAGTTCGCCCTCTCCGTGATGAAGGTCGTCTTTTCTCGGTCCAGCCCATACATTGGTATCTAGTTATACCCAGAATACGCGTCCAGGAAGCTTAGCATCTGATGTCTAGAGGCACCGTCCACCAATGCGTCTATGTTGGGTAAGGGATGAGAATCTTTCGGGCAGGCCTTGTTCAAGTCGGTGTAGTCAGTGCACATGCGTCACTTTCCACTGGTCTTTTTTACCATCACCACGTTAGTTAACCAACTAGTGTAGGTGACCTCTCGGACAAAGCCTGCCTCCTTCAGCTTTCCCACCTCATCTTCGACGGCTTTCCGCTTTTCTTCGCCCATCCGCCGCTTCTTCTGGGCCACCGGACAGGCCTCCTTGAACATTGCCAGCTTATGACACATGACCGTAGGGTGGATCCCCAGCATGTCGGCCGCCGTCCATGCGAACAAGTCCCTATTCTTCCACAGGAGCGACCTAAGTTCTTCCTCCACCCCTGCTCCAGTCCCCGGGCCATGGTAGTCGTCTAGGAGGGGTTCTTCCCTATCAGGACGGGTTGGGTTTCTCCCATCGGTACCAGCCGGTCTTCCGTGTTCGTCCTCGGGTCGAGGTCGGCCATGGCGACCTCGGAACCGGTCGCCCTCCGTTTCCCTTGTCGGGTGTGCAACTTTAAACCGGTAGCGTAGCATTCCCGGGCCGTTTTCTGGTCTGCGCGGACAGTGCATATGGTTCCCTTCTCGGAGGGATACTTCATTGTGAGATGGGGTGTGGATACGATCGCCCCGAAGGCGTTCAAGCATGGCCGGCCGAGCAACACGTTGTACGAGGTGTTGGTTTCAACCAGCATATACCGGACCCTCCTCTCTTCGTTGGACCGCCCGATCCCCAGCCTCGTCCTTAACTCCACGTAACCCCGGGTGTCTACCCTTTCTCCCGCGAAGCCTACGATTTGTCCGTTGTAGGGAACGATGAGATCTTCTGACATGTCCATCTGCTGGAAGGTCTTCCAGTAGAGGATATTCACCGAGCTCCCCTGGTCCACCAAGACCTTGCTGACACCGTAGCGGACGATCTCAACAATTATAACCATCATGTCATCCTGATCGGGATCGGGCGCGTGGAAATCTTCATCCGAGAAGGTGATGGGCGACATTGTGCGACGTGGCTTGCCCACCGAATGTACGGACTGCAGGCCCCGCACGTGGCGCTTTCGGGCAGACGATGACGACCCCCCCTAACGAAACCTCCTGAAATGGTATTGATGTGTCCTCGAAGGGGATGTTCGCGACTCCTGCTCTACTGCGTCGTTGCTCGGAGCGGGGACGTTCGGCCCTATCATTCCTGGGCCTATCAGACCTGTATGCCGGCCGCTGGGCGGGCCGCTCCGCAGGTGCCTGAGGACGGTCGTCGCGGATGTATTTCTTGAGCTTCCTTGCCCGGATCAGCTCTTCGATTTTGTCTTTAAGGGTCACACATTCCTCGGTAGTGTGGCCCATATTCTTGTGATAGGCGCAATGTTTGCTCCCGTCCGCTCCCGATGGAGTTGGTCGCTTCATCGGCTCGGGGAGCAAATTCGTGCTCAATGCCTCCCGGAGAATCTTCTCCCTTGGGGAGTTCAGGGGGGTATACTGTTGAAAGCGGGCCCCCCGTCTTGGTTCCTTCTGTCTCTGGCCGGCCGACTTTCCAGCCGAACTGCTAGGCTTCCCACCGTCCGTCCTTTCCCCCCTAAACTCCTGGCTTTCCTTCTTGTAAGATAATTTCATCTCTTCTATCCTTATCTCGTCTGCCGCTCGTTCTCTCAACTCTTCCATCGTTTTGGTGGCCCGTCGGCAAACGCTGTCTTTAAACGGTCCCGGATTAAGAGTCGGGAGGATGTAATGAAGGGCGAGCTCGGGGCTTAAAGCCTTCACTCACCGGACGGTCTTCTGATACTGGTCCATTAACGCTCTCAATGTTTCTTCTTTTCCCTGCTTGAGGGTGACCAATTCGAACACGGTCAAGTCTTGCGTGTTGTTGGCCGCGAATTGCCAGTTGAACAGTCGTTTCAGGCCGACGAAATTCTCTATAGAGTTGGGGGGTAGAGAGTTAAACCATTCCAGTGCCTCGTCTTCCAAATGGCGTCGTTGCCTGTTCTGAACGCCATGGCGTTTGAGAACGTTTTGATGTGAGCCTCGGGATCCGTAGTCCCGTCATACATTTTGAATTGCGGTGCCATGAACTGTTCCGAAATCTGAACGTCCATTATGTTTTGGGCGAAGGGAAGCAATAGCGTGGATGAAGGCTCCGGCTTCACCATCATCCGCCTATCCTCGACCGCGCTCTCCGCTTGCACTGACTTAGCTTTGCTCCCTTCGGCCTCAGATTCTGTTGGCCTCCAAGTCTTGTCACGCCCGGTGTCCTGTCCCGTGTGTTCCCCTGCGGCGACTTTTCCCTTCTCCTTTGCCCGCTCGTCTTCCCCGTCCTTTCCTCCGATCTCCCGGGCTAACCGGGCCTCACAATCGGCCTTTACCGCCGCCAGCTCGTCCTCATGACGTTGTTGCATCTCGTCCATCTTCTGTTGTAGAACTCTGATCATCTCAATCGGGTCATTCATACTCATATTTCTCGTGGTCACCATTGGGTTTATAGAACTACACGGCCCCATGGTGGGCGCCAAATGTTTCAGATGTGTAGGGCTGTGTCGTCCAATATCTCCACGTCCTCCTCTGGTCGTATTTCGTATGTCCGGTCCTCCGTACTCGCTCCTCAATTTTCTCTTCAGTCCGGGGGTGGGAGACCTGCGAAAGATTCTCCGATGCCAAAGTCAGTTGAGAGCAATGGCGTTTTTCTATCGAATAATAATAAATGTGCAGTAAATGCAACCTATCTACCACTCACCCTGGATCTGTATTTATAGTTTTCGCTATGGGCTTGGGATTAGTGAAAAGTTAATCACGGCCCAAATTCAGCCCAATAGCTTTTAACCTCAACTTACCTTAAACCTGACTAATTAGCAGTATGGCCGGCCGGTCTCCTAAGTTCGGCTCTTGGATCGGCCGGCCCCTATGGGCGTCATGTGTAACAAACGGCGTGTCCGGCCGGCCTTCATAGTGTATCCGGCTGATGAGGTAAAATCACGGCCAACCCCTATGGGCGTCATGTGTAATAAAACGGCATGTCCGGCCGACCTTTGTAGTGTAGCCGGATGATGAGGTAAAATCGCGTGATCTCGGACGTCTGGGCGTCCGGTTTGTTGCTTTGATCCTTC